TCGAGGCGACGATGCGTTTGGCGCGGCGGTGGCGGCGGCAGCACTGCTGTCGCGTGCGCGCTCGACGGCGTCGGCCGGCGTCGGCGGCGTGCGACGACTGCGCCGACGGCGTGGCCCACTCGTCCTGGTACCACCTCGGCGAGCTCGATTGCTTTTCGTTAGACGGCGCGAGTGCGTGGCGCGGCTTCGTCAGATGTCCGCCTCTTTCGCGGCGACGGCGACGGCGGCGGCGTCGACGGGCGCCTTGCGCGGGATGGGCGGCAGCACGACGATGGGATACGGGTCCGCGGGCGCGGCGGCGGGCGCCGGCCGCGGCGACGGCGCGCGGCGCGGCGGCGCGGCGCCGAGCGTCGACGGCGCCGCGTCCTTGGACCCGGACGCGAGCGTGTCGCGGAGCGCGAGCAGCGCGCGGTTCGGCTTCTCCGGCCAGGCCGGCTCGGCCTCGGCGCGGTTCGGCTTCTCCGGCCAGGCCGGCTCGGCCTCGGCGCGGTCCGGCTTCTCCGGCCAGGCCGGCGCGGCCTCGGCGCGGTCCGGCGGCGCGGCCCACGCCGGCGCGGCCTCGGGCTCCGCCCACGCGGGCTCGGCCCAGTCGGGCGCGGCCCACGGCGCGGCGCCCGGCGCCGACGCGCCCGGCGCCGCGAGCACCGCGGCGTCGATGACGTCGTCGAGGTCGAACTCGGGCTCCTCGGCGACGGCGGCCGCGGCCTCCTCCTCGACGGCGGCCGCGTCGTCGGCGGCGGCCGCGCGCGGCGACGACGCGGGCGACGCCCAGCGGCGCCGCTCCGCGCCCGGGAAGTCCAGCGTCGCCAGGACGAGCTGCGACTCCGAGTAGTGGTCGAGGCGGTCGTAGAGGCCCGGCGGGAAGTCGGCCGCGGACACTTTGGCGAAGCCGTGCTTGAGGAAGAAGCCGACGGCGCCGTGGTCCGCGTACGTGGCGACGTGGGACACCTTGTACTTGCGCGCGTGGGAGAAGAGGCGCTTGAGGAGGTGGGCGCCCATGTGGCGCCCCTTGGACTCGGGCTCGACGCAGATGAAGGACACCTGGAAGAGCGCGGGCGCCGCGCGGCGCGCGCACGCGCCGCCGAGGACGACCTCCTCCGCGTCGTCGCCGACGGCGCCGGGCTCGGGCACCGTGTGGGCCACGAAGGCCGCCGTGCCCTTCTCCGAGAGGCAGAAGTCGACGTGGACGCGGTCCAGGTAGGGCAGGCACGCCGTCGCGAGCTCCGCGGCGGCGTCGAGGAGGCCGCCGGGCGCCGCCGCCTCGCCGCAGTCCTGGCCGCAGAGCACGCGGCTCACGTAGGCCCGGTGGCCGTCCCAGCGGCCGGGCAGCTGCGCCATCTCCATGAAGTGGCGCTTCTTCGGCCGCTTCTTCGGCCGGTCGCCGGGCGACGCCGGCGCCT